AGAGAGAGAGAGAGAGAGAGAGAGAGAGAGACGTTCACAAACCCACACATTACTTACATTAGCATCCAGCAATCTGCCGAAATCTGGAATTATGAAATATCTGATGCCGATGATAGCGTGGTCCAAAGTGACCCCACGGAAGAACAAGATGAACAGAACGACGTAGGGGAAGATAGCTGTGAAATAAACAACCTGCAGGGACGTTTTCCTATGTTAGACGTCATTTGACCAATTTTTTTGACAGGCATGGTCAGCAATAAATAGATTAGGGGCGGAAGGTTAGACCGATCAAAGTGCAGGCACATAAATTTATCAAACAGAATACAAAAGTGAAAAGAAAAGTAATAGACTTAGATGACTGACGCAGCTCATTACATCAACATGAATATAGTTTAAACAAAAGTGAGGTTTTTAAAGGGACGGGACATCCGCGGGTAGTCGGTGGTTGCTCTGGTGTGATTTGCCCCTCCTTTCTTATCAAACATCTATCGTCCTTATCTCCCCTCCTTCTTTTTTGGGTTTGTTAAACCTTGATCTTCGGCACTTATATGGCCTTATTGACTTGCAAATGCTGTAAAACTCTTACTAAAATTAAACTAAACCGGAACCTTCTATTTAACTTCCAACTTCCGAGCACAGGATCAAGAAAATTCCCCAAATAATCCTAGTTCAAGAATGCAAGAATATCCCGACAGGAATTGGAACGGTAATGTCTGTCTGCCTGCCTGTCTGTCTGCATGTCTCTCCCCCCCCCCACATCCTTTATTTCTAGATACTCTCTTTGAAACCTATCGCCTGTATACCATAATGGAGATTATAATGTTGTTGCGTTGTTATTGTTGTTTATTGTCAGTTATGGCGATACTGATGCGAAGGATGAGGATGTTGGAACTGATAACAGTGTTGATGATGATGATGATGATGATGATGATGATGATGATGATGATGATGATGATGATGATGATGATGATGATGATGACGACGAAAACAAAGAAGAAGACCACGGCAACTGAAGTAAAGATAACAACAAAAATAGCACCGTCGACGATTGTCTTTTACTGCTCAGTGTCTTTCCTAATGCACCCTGTTAACTCAGTATGATAGGTATTGTGTTGCTTTACGAAGCCGATGGACCTTGTTCGAATCCCCTAAAAGAATGTTCTAACCTTCGGTTGTTTTAGTTATTTCGGGGAGTTACTAAGGCTCTCTGCCCATTTGATTCAATCCTATCAAAGATACAAAGGATCAAGACTACGATAAATGATTTACAGTAATATACAGTAACCTGGCCTACGAATTGCTCATTGCTGGTCATCACTGGGCGGCGCCTTTTTTGAGGG